CCAACCCAAATGAATTGGTAAAATCTGTAAGCTCTTCAGCACTAAGAATGTTTGAATAAAAATAGGGTGGAGAAAATTTTGGGCTTAAGCCCCCTCAAAGATGAGTTATTCAAATTATCCAATATAATGTACTTAGCTTGGTCAAGGGTGCCTTTCAAAAAAAAAAAAAAAAGCTTGGTCAAGGGTGACCGCCGCATGCGCCTTTTTTATTCCATAAACTCATAAAGTGTGTTCCAATCACTCTTAGGCGGTGTGAATGTGTGATAGTGCGCCTTTAATTTTATTTTCATCTTTAATTTGTTGAAGTTGTCTGTTGCGGATTCTCCATGGGAGAAAAAAAAAACAATAGAAATATAAAAGATGTAATCATACAGTCATATGGTAACATATAAAACTGTAGGAGACAATACAATAAAACGAATATAAAAAAATATCCTTTTAAAAGAGTTTCACATGTTGTTGTCGACCTTTATATCTGAATCTAAATAATAAAATATAATAAGTGAATGAAAATTATACATTTCATTTATGTTTGTTTTTTTCGTTAAGTTTTTTTATACATTATGCTATAAATGTTATACATTAAAATATTTTGGACAAACATACCACTACCATCATAACTTTCGTTATCTTTTCCACTATTGTTACCATGCACATGCATCCACCATATATTTTCTTATCTTATTTATTAATAATAATATATACACATTATATATTTGAGTTATATATTAATTACATTTGAAATTGTGGATCGGATTAGATTAGCGTCGGTAGGCCATATATATATAATAAGGAATTATAAACGAGGAACCTTTTTTTTCTTTGTTTTGACAAACCTCTTTGAACCCATTGAACCTTAAACCTTTGGGTCCTTCTATACCAACAACTCAACCTCAATTTCCATCACCGTACATTTACTCCATAAGGCTATCCTTATCCTGTTATCCTCTAACTATTAAAAATGAATCTCACATTCACATAACTCAATTTTTAATTCATTTACTATTCACACTACATTTCTGTAAATTCACTCAACTTTTAAAATATACCCAATTTCACATAACTTTACAAAATTAATATCGTTTTTCAATAAATATTATTTTCTCATCAACATTATTAATTTATATCAATATATAAATTACATTAAATATTAAAAATAACAAAAATGAAAATTCAAAAACACAATTTTTTATATAAATTACTTTTAAATATTAAAAACAACAATATTGAAAATCTAAAAATGTAATTTTTTAAAAAACAATTTAAAAAGTTATTCGTATTACGTATATAACCGAAGGCAAATTATAGTACAAAATTTTGTTTATCTAAAATAATTTGTGTTATTAATTTGAATTACGATTTGAATTGCAAAACTAAACCCCAAATGAACCTTACAAATTCGAAGTAATTGGAATCATTAAAATTAACTCAAGTACGAAATTGAAGACATTGAAATAACTAAAGTTAAAGAAATTGCAAATTCGAAGACATTGAAATAATTAAAAATTAAGATTGATGGATTTAATTAATCCGGGGCGGACCCAAATCAATAAATCCGGATAAGAACGTAATACGAATAATAAATAAATAATATAAAACGATGTCGTAAAAGTCGTGAGACCGTATATTATATTAAATGCCGTAGAATTGGCTATTACAAAGATTTAGTAAGACAAAAGTGTGTAGAATAGGAATCAAGTTGTCCTAACAAGGTGAGGTGGGGGGTTTTTATATGCAACAAACCCCCCAACCACTCCCCCTAAAGAGGGGGGCGGTTAGATCGCTCTTTGACCGGGGACCCGGGTGGACCGGGTCGGGTCGAGTCCCCGGGCTCGAGTAGTGCCGAGCTCGCTATGGCCCGAGCTCGAGTAGAGTCGTGCTACCCGAACCGAGCCCGACGTCACTCGGCTCGGGTCGGGGCACCTCCAAGGTGCCGTGGGCCGGGGTGCTTTTGGGCTCCAACGTGGTGCTCCGGGTCTGCGTTGCTACCCCGGGTCGGGTCGTGAGTATAATATATCCGTCATGAGTCCCCCACTCTCTTCGTTGCGAGTGGAAGTCGACAACGAAAGAGAGTAGATATCCTGACCCGACCTCCATGCGCGAATGTAGCCGAGCTCACCATGGTCGAGGTGCCTTGTGCCGAGGCGTCTTGAGCCGGGGCGTCTTATGCCGAGGCGTCTTGGGCCGAGGTATTCTGAGCCGAAGTGCCTTGGGCCGAGGTGTCCTGAACCAAGGTGCCTTGTGTCGAGGTGCCTTGGGCCGAGGTGTCCTGAACCGAGGCGTCATCACTTGCTTCAAATTCACCTGTGACCTGTCCCACCACGAGTCTAGAGTCACATCGGATTTTGAGCTTCTCCACCTTCATATTTTGCGCGAGGTGAAGGCCCCCCAGGAGCGCCTCATACTCGGCTTCGTTGTTGGATAATTTGAATGCGAAGCGGAAGGGCGTAGTAGGCCCGGAACCCTTCCGGGGTTATGAGGGCGACTCCTCCCCCGCAGCTTTTGGTGCTGGAGGACCCGTCCGTTGAAAGGGTCCACCACTCCTCGTCTTCGTCCCGGACCCGCTCTGTGGCCTCCCGGGCAGTACACTCGACTATAAAGTCAGCCAGTGCCTGCCCCTTGATGGCGGGTCTGGGCTTGAACTGGATGTCAAACTGGCCCAGCCGCATGGCCCACCTGACCAACCTGCTGGCCGACCCCGAGGCCGTCAGTACTGCGTCTAGTGGCTGGTTGGTGAGGACCTGTACGGGGTGGGCCTATAAGTAGTGGTTCAGCTTCTTTGCCGTCACATCTACTGCGAAGATGGCCTTTTCCACGGGTGTGTACCTGATCTCCGCCCCCCGTAGAGCTCGGCTCGTATAATATACGGGCCGTTGGACCCCCTCGTCGTCCCGGACCAGCACGGAGCTGACCGCGGCCTGCAAGATGCCCAGGTACAGATATAGGACCTCTCCCTTAACGGGTTTGGCCAGGGGGGATCGACATCAGGTACGTCTTGAGGTCTTCGAAGACCTTCGGACCACTCGAAGCCCTTGGTCATTTTGAGGACCCCAAAGAACGGCAATGATTTCTCGGCCGACCTCGAAAGGAAACGACCCAGGGCTGTCAACTGCCCGTTGAGGCGCTGGACCTCCTGGAGGGACCTCGGAGGTTCCATGTCCAGGATGGCCTTGACCTTGTCGGGGTTGGACTCAATGCCCCTCTTCGAGACCATGTACCACAAAAATTTCCCCCCATGCACCCCAAAAGTGGGGGGAAATTTTCTTGCTTCTTTCACAAATTACCAAAAAAATCAAATGAAAATTTAATGAAAAAAAATGTTATCATTTCATAGCTTCTTCGTCTTCTTTTATCTTTGTTTCGAATTTGGGATTGGTTGATGGCAATAAGAAGCAATTTTTTTAACTAATGACAATGGTAGCAAGTTTTAACTAATGACAATGGTAGTAAGGGTTGTCAACGATGACAAGGACTATTGGTTAATCACACTATTAAATTAGAAAAATATTACATCAACTTCAAAAACATATTTCTAACTTTTACTCTCACTTGTGTTCAAATTTTATTAGAAGAAGAAAAAAATAGATAAAAGTTATGATCTCTATTAAATTAAGCAATCAAAACGTATTACTCATTAAATTATTATGAAGAGTACGTTGATGTAGCTAGCTAGCATTTTTCGGTTTCAGAAACAAATTAAAGTTATGAGTGCAAGGTAGTCTAGGTAAAATAAGTAATTAGTGCCAACAATAATATATAAAAAGAACAAGGTGTAACACTAGCTGCTAAACAAACCTACAATAATTTTCAACACAAGATCAGAAGAAATGCAAGTACCTTTGGTAGAAGAGAATGAAAGGAGCAAATTATAGCTAGCTAGTGTTTTATTTTCATCTTTAGCTTCGGCTTTGCTAGAAATAGTTAGGATCTCTGTATAATCTTGTTGATAACACCTTAGTCGATGCTAAACCGTTTCAATAGGCAAATTTTCATGTGGACCATAGTTCACAAAACGCTGCATAAACTATAAAAAATGTATTTTGTATTTAGAGAAAATTCATTATTTATATATTGAATGTATATTATTCAAAATAATATAAATTAAGTACTCAAATAATGTACTTTCTCTGAATACAGAGTACATTTTTAATATGTTAAAAGTACATTATTTATGTACTGACTATACATTATTTAATAGTATACAAAATAATATACTTTCAATACTCAAATAATGTATTTTCAAATTATGTACTCTATATACACAAAATCATGTACATTTTATTTGTAGTCTACACAATTGTGTGCATCATGGTCCATCCAATTGAATGTTAGTTCTAAAGTCATCTTTAATTTGACACAAAAGGATGGATTTTAAGTCTCTCTTGTTTAATTGCCATTTTCAAATTATTTACTTTGAGACTTTTTGTCTTCTTCTCTTTCCAAGCAAGAATTTTTTTTTTTTTTTTTTCACGACGTCACAATCACAAAATTAGAATGTGGCATAAAGAAGCCATTACAATGCAAGTCCAAAATAAATAGGTAAAATCTGTAAGCTCTTCAGCACTTGGTCTGCAAAAATAAAAGTATCCTCAAGAAATAGGGTGGAGAAAATTTTGGGGTGAAGCTAAGCCCCATTAAAAATGAGTTATTCAGAATGGGTAGGTAAGTATTTCAATTAACTTTAATGATGAGCAAAATTATTAAAATAGCAGGATAGCCTTAACCCAAGAAATTCGATCTGAGCCAAATATAGTTCTGTAGAAAGAAGTAAACATAGCTGTATATACAAGTAGGACATATGAAATAACCATTATTGAGTACTGTAAGTTGGATTTATTATTACTATTATTACTCCAATAAAGGGGATTGACCAAGTGTAATGCAAATAAATTGTATTCCACAGAAACATCAGATGCCAAACGTAGAACATTGGTTGGAAAAGAGAAGGAACAATGTTATATTAGATCAGAGAAGAACAAACCTCTAAACTTCCAGTCAGCACAAGAGTATGTTATATTGTACGTATAACATTACAACGAGTACAAAGGGAAGAAAACACATAAAACTAGTTACTAAACAAACGTAGAATAGTTCCAACACCAGAAGGAAGAAATGGAAGTAAGTAGGGGAGAGAAGAGGAGCAAAATGAAGTCCTTCATCCACATTTGGGGGTGACCATCATTCTGATTACAGTCTTGCCACATGATCTCAACACATCCAGACCGTGCAACAATCCCGAATCACACATCAGGGTAATCCACTCATCTTCCTCATCTTGATACGTGATAGACATATTTTGTAGTGATATTTTGAACTTTGTTTCCAATTGCTCCTCCAAATATTTGATAGTTGAGGAGGATGAGAGCGGAAGCCTTATGGTATCATTTTTATAGGTTACCTTGACAGACATTGTGGTGTTACATTCGCTTGTATTTGTGGGTTGTAGAGGAGGCAGAGCAGGACATGCAGGTTGAATTCCTTTATGTTTCTTAACAGCTTGTACATGTTGATTTTGGTTGAGAGAGCAATTGGGCTTTTTTCCCTTGTGATTTGGCCATCTATTGATGCCAAAGTCCCGACATGCTCGCTTCAATGTAGATATGCTAACTGCACAATATAATATAATGGGAGATTAAAGAAAAGCAAATGTGTCTATGAGAAAGTATATTTTGAAGCAATAACCACCTATCTATCTATACACTGAACAAATATTGAATACTATTACCACATTAAATATATGATAAAATGTAGTGTTAGCTGACCTTTAAGAGTTTTAGCAGCATCATCGCGATTCTTACCAAACAGTTGTTCAAGAAGCTGGCGGGTAATTCCATAATCTTTCTCCCACCTGCTGATATTGTCTGTTTTCTCTGAACTACTGTTTCCACCATTGGCATCAATGCTATTATTTAACTCAACAACAACATTATTTCTTTCTTCATTTGTTGCACTGGATTCGGGAATGTGGGCTTCAGAAGATGAGTCCTCCTGTTGCAGCAGCAGCATCCCTTCCCTCCCTGCAGCATCATATTGTGCTTCAACTGCAGGACAAATGTCAGCAGTATGATTCTCATCCGAGGCAGTACCAACTTCTTCTAAAGAGTGTCTAGTGATGCCAAAGTCCCGACGTGCTCGCTTGAATGTAGATGAGCTAACTGCACAACGGAAGGATCGGAGATTCAAGAAAAACAAAGGTGTCTGTGAGAAACTATTCAAGCAAGCAAAAACCAAACCACCTCTGATCTGTATACTAAGAAACTACTACCCCATAAAATATATGATAAAACTGATAGCTCACCTTTAAGAGCATCACGACTCCTCTTACCAAACAGTGGTTCAAGAACCTTGCCGGAAATCCCATGATCTTTCTGCCACCGTACCAGATGAAGTCGATCTTTTTTCTTCCAGCTGTTTCTTCCTATGGCATCAGTTCTTTTTAATCCAACAACAACAACGTTCCTTCCTTCATTTGTTGCATTGGATTTGGGATTATGGGCTTCACATGGTGAGTCCAGTTGCATCATCCTGCTTTCTGCTCCAAGTAGCGCTGGCAAAATGCTAACACTGTGATTCTTTTGGGAGGCAGTACCAACTTCTTCTTGCAAATACCGCAGCTTGATTTCTTCCCCACTCAGTAACTCTAAAACCCCTGTTTGAACAAGCCTCTCAAAGTGGTCTACAAACTGCCTTTCCAAACTATTCTGGTGCTGCATTTCTAGGCACGTCCTTTCAAAGTAGAGCAACGAGTGCATCTTTGAATTAACGGAGGATGAGGAGAAGGAGCAATCATCATTTACCGAAATCCCAAAGGAATAATTGTTTGTCCCTAAACACAACAGCAGGCTTACTACAACATCCAGTACCTCTAAAACCATATTCCAAGGTTGCGTTTTTGAGCAGAATGCATACCGCCATCGGTGACTAACTGAGATCCGTTCCATTATCATCCCTCCCCAGCTTTCTAGCTCAAGTGCTCGTGAACTGCACACGGCATAATTGTTTTCGGAGGAAAAATCAAGTTGTAAATATGCGGCTGCCTGCTTGACATTTATTATTTGTTCTCCATTCCCTAACTCTATAACCATATTCTGACACAGCCATTCCAAGCTGAGCAGACATGGTGTCACACCCAGTGCGCCTGGCAGCCCTGGCTTACAATAACTACTGGGAGAGGTGAGACTATTGAGCGAGGGTGAGGGTCTCACATCCCGTAGGCATTTACAAGAACTGAGATCGAGAATGAAGAGATGAGGGAGACAAACGCGTTCAACGAGACCAGCGAGAGTGGCACTGGCTCTGGCAGCACCAACTTCTTCTATACACGGCGGCTGCTGCTGCTTCCAAGTTGGCCGCGTCATCATTCCCTTCCTATTCTCAAACTCTTGAGCATCATTATGATCTGCAAAATTCCACAATATAAATGGATCGGAATCACCGGACGGCGGGGAAAAGTAGTTCATCCTTGGGGGACTCGTGCTCATCATCATTCCTCCCCTCATCCCCATGTCGGGCGTAAGGTACAACGGTTCTTCGCCAGAAAAGCCCATCCATTGGGGGCTCATCACCATTCCTCCCGTCATATCGAACAGCAAATCGCAGTCTGTATTAACACAATCTGTTTGTAGATGATGGACAACAATAGTGGTCTCAGCTTCTTCACTCATCTCCGACTCCGTAACAGGGTGGCAGGTGAGACCGCCATGGTTGAACAACGAGCTCACGGGAGAGGGAGAGGCAGCATATAGTGGCGGTTGAGCTTGTTCCCCCAGTCCCTGAGATGGCAAATCTTCAGCAGAGGGGTCAATGAACGATGATGCATCAACAAGTGTCATTGCTGAATTTGAGTGCTGTGAGCTGAGAGATTGATTTGGTGGAAAATGTAATAATGTATTTCGGCTTTGCTTAGGAATTGGGATCTTTGTTGACTTGTGGACTAGCCTCGGTCGCCTATATAGTATATATAATAAGCCCCATTGCCAGCTGCCCCTTTGAACCTTTTTTTCTTTTTGACAAACCCCTTTGAACCTTTTGAACCTTAACCCTTTGGGTCCTTGTATACCAACAAGGCAACAACTCAACCACAATTACCATCACCCTATATTTACTCCACCATAATATTAACTGTATTTTTCCACTCTTTCCAACACCACCCAAACTTTTATCCCCAATGAGGTATTTCAGAAATCTCTAATAGCACGTTTGGTTCACGGAATGAATTTGGAAGGAATAAGAATACTATTCCACAAGAAATAGAATAGGTAAGATAGGAATTGTATTCTATTGTTTGATTCGCTGAAGGAATAGACTTTAGTAATTGTATTCCAGAGTTTGATCGGTTAAAAAGAATAGAAATAGAATAGACTTTAAAGACATAATAATAATAATAATAATAATAATAATTATTATTATTATTATTATTATTATTATTATTCTCTCTCTCTCACACACACATATAAATATATATATATATATATATATATATATATATATATATATATATATATATATAAAATGTCAAGGGTGTTTTGAGAAAATACTTTCTTTCCTCAAAATGTCAATTAAATATATATTTATTGATAGATAAAAATTATAATTAATTAAATATATACATTTATATAATACATTATATTTATTAAATAAATAAAAATATTAAATAATTTGCAAAGGATATTTTTGGTATTTGTGATATAAAAGCTATTTCCAATGGCATGGGAATAGCTAATACCAAGGCCCCCCTAGGAACTAGGAATGGTTATTCCCCTTGCAAAGGTAATAACTCATTCCTAGGGACACTATTCCTTGCCAAAATGATCCAACCAAACAGGCAAACAATGGAATAGGTCTATTCCAAGGAATGTTATTCCATTCCTGACCTATTCCATGAACCAAACATGCCATAAATAATACATGAAATTTCATTGTGGTTTTACTACTTTATAAATTTCGACATTAAATTATGCAATGAATTTCGTGGATAATTGCTTGATTTCATCATTTTAATTATACTAGTAATTGTCTCGTGCGATGCATGAATTATTATTAATTTAACAAATTTACTAATTAAATTTTTTACATCCTATAAATTATATTCTAAGTTTACAAATGCATGATAATACAGTCAAGATTGATTATAATTGTCAATAAAATAATTGTATAGGTATGGTTGACACCAAATACGGGACATAAGGAGGAGCAAATAAAAATTAGGGCATAAAATATTAAATATATACTAATATTGAAGAGCTAACCGCTGATTGCCAAACAAGGACATTGCGAGATAGTTTCCCACTTTAATTTGTTGTGTGATTTGAATACTCTTTTTGTCAATAAATTCCAAGTAGTTAATATAATTGGCTTAATTATATTTTTTATATTTTTAAACAATTATTATTATTATTATTATTATTATTATTATTATTATTATTATTATTATTATTATTATTATTATTAAATATATGTATACACTTAGGTCATTTTACATGTTAATCTAAACAACAAAATTTTCCAAATATCTTTTACCAACCGTTGATATAATCCGCTGACGCTAACCGCTAACTGCTGATTGTCAAACAAGGACATTGCGAGGTAGTTCTCACTTCAATTTGTTGTGTGATTTGAATACTCTCTTTGTCAACAAATCGCTCAAGTCATTAATATGATTGGCGTTATTAATTATATTTTTTTTAATTTTTTCATGGTATTAATAAAATACTTGGTAAATAAATATATAGCATTATTTTGTATTATAACTTTGATATTTAATTAAAAAATAGTGCACAAAAAAGATAATAGACAATGTAGTGAATATAATCAAGTGATGAATTTGAATGTAAAGAATTTTTACATTGGAGAAATATAAAGACAATATAACTAATAAAATTATTTCTCTTAATTAATTTATTGATAAGAAATAATTTTTTTTAATAAAGACATTGTGGGGACAATGTAGCGAATATAATGAATTTGAATGTAAAGAATTTTTATATCGGAGAAAAATAAAGAAAATAGAATTAATGAAATTATTTCTCTTATTTAATTTATTGATAATGAATATTTTTTTTGAATAAAGACACTGTAGACACATAATTCAAAACTAAAGAAATGCATATGTATTATTTTTTGTTGTAATTACTAAATTATTATTTTTAATTTAGTAAGAGTAAAATAGAGTACTAATTATTACAATTTTGATCGGAATGAGGTTCGAACCTAAGACCTTTCTTATTGAAATCAATGAATAAGTTAACGGTGAACTAACAAAAATTAGATGCAACCTTAAATAGTTATTATTTCATGTATAAATAAATTTTGAAATCTATTTGCAATCAAAAAAGAATAAATTTGAAATCTATTTAATATAACAACAAATTTAATATTGCAAAAGAAAAATACATTTCAAAATAAATTTTCATGATTCAAGTTTGATTTTATCATATCATTTTTAAAAACATTATCAACAATAAAGTTACTTAAATTTTAGGACGTGCATCGCATCGGTAATTCTTCGTTTTAAAGGGTTGAGCCGCTTTGTATTGCAAATGTGGATTGAAATTTCCCAGATTCTTACTGTTGTTGTTATGATAGGTGTGGTTTTATTGACAATGTTACTGTGCTTTGATACAGAAAAGGGTAATAGTCTTAATTAGCCTATTTTGTAATATTGTAGTAAAAAAATTTAATGTTGTAAAGGAAAAGATGTGATGTTTGATTTTATATATATATATATATATATATATATATAGTATAGATAGATAGTAGATTTGAATTTGAATTTGAAATAACTACTTTAATTATATAACTAACGTATTTAAATAAAAATTGCAAATAAAATAACAGGTGATATTTGTCGAAAATCCCCACACAAAAAACTTATTCATTTGAAAAAGATTACTTATGTAAGAACTATATTTATTTTATATCTAATTTCTCTTCTTTATATATGTGGAGTCAAATTAATTATAATTGAGGTTTAAATGAATATATACACAAATTATAATAAATATAAAATTTTACCAATAAATTTGAACACAATAAACTTTTTTCTATATATACTTCATTATGCTTTAATATATATAGAGATAGAGATAGAGATAGAGCTATAATAATAAAATAGAATTTATAAACTATAAATGCACATAATAACTTCAAAAAATTATGTATAAATACATCTACCCACAATTAATACATTCATACTTGATATCTTGTTTCTGTTAAAATGCATTTACACTTTGGAGGAAAAATTTTGTAACTAGATTCTGCTTTATTATATATATATATATATATATATATATATATATATATATATATATATATATAAGATAAAGATTTATTTTTGAAGTCCTATCAATAATAAAATTATTTAAATATTATGACATGCATTACATAGTTAAATGCTAGTCACCTTAATACAATACTATTTCAAGGCGATCCACGGTATAATGCTTGCTTATATGTTGCTCCAAAGTTAGGACAATTATTTCAAAGTTTCTACACTTCATCTTCTTTTTTTAATTTTTTTAAAAAAATTACAATCTATTTAGTTTTTTTTTTAAATCATTTTTTTAACAAATTCAATATCCATGTCAAAACTTATTTCTGTAAGCAAATATAAACTTTAAACTAACCTCCGGCCATAGTTGTTCTTTGTAAAGCTTTGAAATTGCTATAGTTTGCTTGATGTTTCTGCTGCAGAATGTCTCCCACTTGGTCTCAGGTTCAATATAGATGGTGTATATGTGTCAAAAACAGTAACCTGAGCAGTGGGGAACCCTTTGCTTATATAGCCTGTATGCCATCAATACAGGCTTTGTAATTGTTACCATTACAACTCCTTATTATGGCACCACTTATTGACCATTAAAAGCCATATTGACTTGCACCATTTAAGTTTTCCTAAATGGAAAACGTTACATTCTCCACTCGGTGCAAGTACAAACTAAAAGAAACGAAACATGAACTATAGAGATATGTCCTCTTAATACGAGTAGTATCTACTATAATCACAATCTATCTTGTCCCCTAAGTTCTTTATATGGTGACCAAAACTTAATGGATAAACCTCATGTTTATTCCAGGGCCAAAAGATATATATTTTCTCAACAAAATGTGCACAATACAATAACGAGAAAATTTCTGAATACTTTAAGAATTTCATGAAATAACTGTATGTACACAAATTTTACAAAGTGGGCGCAAGTCCCATTTTCTCAACAAAATTCCTAAACTTGAATGGTGGCATGCCTTTAGTTAAAGGATCAACAATCATCAACTCAGTACTTATATGCTCAATGACCACTTTCTTATCTTTAACACGCTCCCTGATGGCTAAGTACTTGGTGTCGATATGCTTACTTCGACTCCAACTCTTATTGTTCTTAGCCAGGAAGACTGCAACTAAGTTATCACAATAAACCTTTAATGGTTTAGAAATAGAGTCCATAACTCTAAGCCCCGAAATGAAATTCTTAAGCCATACACCTTGAGATGTAGCCTCAAAACATGAAACGAACTCGGCTTCCATGGTTGAAGTGGTGACAAGAGTTTGTTTAACACTTCTCCATGAAACAGCTCTACCGGCCATGATAAAAATGTTCCTCGAAGTTGATTTCCGAGAATCAACACAACCGGCAAAGTTTGAATCAGAATATCCAACAATGTCCAAAACGTCCATCTGTTTGAAAACAAGCTTATAATCCTTAGTACCCTTGAGATAACTTAAAA